TTTGGAATTTCTTGGTTTTAGAACATGTACATTCCGAAAAGTAGTTTTATTGAATTTGGAATTTGAAGTAAAACATGGGGAGAGACAGAGCTGTCATCTTGGATCGTAGACGGCAAACATGATGGCTGACTGAATCACAACTAAAGGACGATTGTTTGGAGTTATCTGATCAGATGGGCTGGCAACATATCCAGAGGAAAACAACATAGAATTATCTGATGGATCGTATCAATTTTTTCGATATTAGAGAGTGAGGATAAAATAGAGTTGAGATGATAGAATATAAGCGCGCAGTTTTAACCCACTCCGAAATACTTTGGAAGTGAAATTTTAGACGAGAGCAAAAGATTCGATGTTGTTTGCTCTGTGGCTGTTTTCTTGTGAATACCAGTATGCTTGGTACTCGTACATGATTCAATCCCTTAACAACAATGAGATCTACCGAATGGCTCAGCAATTATTTTACATAGTAAGATAATAGAATTATCGTTCAGAGAAGCAAGCACACAACGATGTTACTCAACTTGTTGGCATCAATCAGCATTCGCAAGGTGCATATTAACCGAATTTCAATAGGGCTATCTAAGGCAACATTTCATTGTTCATTTGAATTTGATGAGGTCAGCCCAAATTCCAAAGCCCCTAAAACCCAGGCAGTACATGTATAATTGAAATCAGATAGGAACCTATCCATACGGGTGAAGGGATGTTTAGCTTTACTCTCCGGGTGATGAGAAACGTTCACGGACCGCCAGGAGGTCATAGGTATCATTGACATGCCTAACGAGGTAGTGTAATATGCATTTTGACAATAATTTACTGACTAGTGACCACCATTTCCCAAAAAACGAGTGTGAATTTTTTTTATGTTGACAACTCTAAGGAATCAGCTCTGAGATTTACATATTTGAAGTCCACACTCATCAATCCAATACTTTGGGTCTTATCTTTGCGTTAACAAGATAGTTAACAATAGTGCTTCCTGAATCTGGAAAAGAAAAGGCAATTCTGTTCAGAGATTTCCCGTCATGACTTATAAAATTCGTTGTCAGAAAATTATTCTCTACTCAGACACAAAATGCACTTTACCACCTGCAGTTTTCTTTTCTCGAGAAATAAAAATAAGATTTTGTAGAAATGTCATGTATGTGTAAAAAGGTGTGAATACTTGATGGTTTCAATAACTTGAGGAAGGTGGAGTTTGCACTTTTGGTTTAATTTTATCCTACGAACCTCGAAAATATAAAGTACACCTTTTACTTGGTTTCAAAGAAGTCGCTTTTGGTAAGTTCTCATTCTCTCTAGATCTTGAAAGAGTTGTGGATGCCAAAAACAGGATATCAGGGCGAAAGGTCACACAGAAAATTACACATTTTCTTGAAATCTGCGAGACCGTTTAAACTGCCAGATATTATATGGTTGAAGTTTGCCCAATTATGATGAGCCGCAAGAGGGATACTAAAATATTCAGAAGGAGTACTTGAAAGTCCGTTTGGAGCACTACAGAATTCATTAAGGAATCGGAAGAAGAAGATCACGATGATGATCGACATTTCTTTCAACCTCAAGCACTACAATCCGGACGATCCCGTTGAAACTTCCTGAAAGTGGCAAGATGATGATGTTTAAGAATGGTCATCTATGTTGAGGGAAACTAAATCTTCCCGTCCAGTTCTAAAACATGCATTTGCAAAGAGATAGGTCCCAGTTTGCCGATACCAGACAAAATGTGCGATACAAAATGGAGATCAGTGTTGACAGCAAATCTATTGTGCTCGATGGGGTTTATTTTGAATAGGCATTCATCGTTGACCACTACAATTTCAGTGGAGCAGAGAGATTAGGAGACGCTCACAACGCTGTTGGATGTGTCCGAACGCTGACCAAATGAAGTGGAGAATCTCCGGTTGATATGCGGATTGTCAGTTGAGGGCTGTATATAAGAAGAGTCAGAAACAACCAGGTATGAAACAAAATTATCAGAATGTGAATGATATATTGAGGGAGTAACGGGTAATCCTTTGATGTAGACCGTAAATGACTAGTAGAACAGTGTTGTTTAAAACCCGTAGGTTCACCGACGACCGTGTGAAGACAGTATTACTCATTTGAGTGTGCTTGATTCATCCGTAAATCAAGCTAGGTGATTCGTACAGGTGGATATCGAAATCAAAACATGTTTTCGAATCTACGATAAGAGACTTAATGGGAGATGGACGAAGTAACCAAAACAGAATTGTAAGGGAAGACAGCATATAAGTTAACAAAGGAAAACCAGAATGGATGTTCCGGACCTCGAAAACGGTTGGTAGACACAGATGATATTTCAATAAAGACACTACAAACCTTCAACTTAGTAAAAGTTTGTGATGTCTACAAAAAAACAGAAAATAATCGGATAACGGATTTAGTGAGCCAGCAGAGCGACCACGGTGTGGACGCCAGTGAAGCCAGTCGTAGGTACATACATGAGCAAGTGCAAACGACTTGTATAGTTACCTCAGACCAGAGTGGTTCTGTATGAAGCGAGATTGCTTTGGTCAGCATGGTCTTAGCGGAAACGTGAATAATATCAGCACTGTTTACGTCCTGTCATGTTTGTGTCTATGCATTTGAAAAGCAGAGTACACTCATCGGGATAGGATCAAGCAAGATCCCATAGTATGAGGTTGCCTATCAAACAAAAGTCGACATAATAACACTTCTGGTGTTGACCCAATATATCACGGCTTGGAATTACGGTGTTGTGTTAACTTTGAGCTCTGTATTCTTCACATTACTTTTGAAACAATTTATATTACTCTATGTCCATTGATAGTTCCGTATGTCTCAATTTTCTGGACCGTTGCATTTCTGCTCTAGTATCTAGCACCAGCTTCTTTCTACCCGTCCCTCGCTCACGTTTTGATACATAACATACAGCCAGTAGTTCCCACTTCGGACGCTATCAGTCAAACTGAGCGGGATTTTTGAAACAGCAAAATCACACATTGTATCGAGCTTAATTAGGCACACGTTTCGTTCCTTAAACCAGTCTGTTAGACAATCCTCAGTGTAGATGAGGCTCACAACACCTGGTGCAGGGCGAATAATATACCAGAAGATGACCCACCCAAAGACAGTCTATAGCCTCAAAACCTGTTTCTGATCGTTCTGTTATTTGGCGATCCATAAAAAATTCCAAACGTATACATCGGAAGAAAATGCAGTCAATTTCTCCAGTTCAGAACAAAAACCCAGAAAAGATTACACTGTGAACAAACGGATATCGTGACACGAAACAATTGTATTTATCAGCAACCTTAGATGGGTGAACAGCAAGACCCTCAACCGTCCCAGTTTCTCTTTTTTAAGCATTGGACAACCTCTTGGAGCACACAACTGGAATGATCTAAGAGAATGAGTGAGTCTAGAAACAATCAGTGATTGATTGTGCAGATGAGGATGATAACACGTAATCTCTCAATTACCATTCCACTCTCCTTATTTCCTCACGGTGTACCAAGAAAGTCTGTGGTTAGGGTGGTGCAAGATGACGACAATTATTGAACATAATCATCATACAAGGAGTATAAATAATCTAAAGCTTCACTCTGATAGGAAGGTTTTAAACGCTTGTCTACCAGTAGTGTGTTTTCTAAGAACGATGGAAAGTTGGGTGTCTGGACTATTTTGTGTTTTCTTGGTTCTATATGAATCAAATGCCCAAGAAGTAGCGACGCGAGAAGAACTGAATCAGAAGATGTTAGACTGGCACAACGAGTTCAGGAGAAAGGTGTTAAACTGTCAATTGAAAGGGCAACCTCAAGCCAAGACAATACCAGATATATTAAGTTATATCCCATTCATGCAAGGATATCCAGTCATCTACTCAAGTAGATGCACTCATTCAGTTTCGTAAATAAATCAGTTGAATTACGGGAGCCAATCCAAGTACAATGATTCTTTTGAACGAAAATTTGATGTTATTAACTGACTCTCATAAAAGTCCAGAAACAATTCCATTGTGAGGCCTATTGGTTTCTCCTCTTGCAAACAGATCGAACACGTTACCGATACATTGAGTCCTTCTCTTTGTTACGCGATGATCAATATTCTACTATATCAAACGTCGTTCTTTTTGATCAACGGTTTCTCCCTCCTCTGATACTAATTGAAATATTCACAGTGCGAAACACCGACGGAAAATCAAAACTATAATGAAATGTCGTAGTTCTGAATAAATCCAACACGAGTTTGACATAAACCACGCAATAAGTGGTCAGATGTCCAAAAATGTAAACTTGATTTTGAATTTCGTATAGTTCTGATGTTTTGTTCTTCATAGCAGAGATGGGACAATAAGAGCTGTAACTTTCGGTGGAACTGCCGTAATACTCGTAACCTCAATAAACAAGTGTGATCATATTTATACTTTTAGATTTATGATGCTGAATTGGCTGCAAAGGCACTACAGTGGGCAAGCAATTGTACCGTTGGCCACGATGCAGACGCAGGTCGGGCTACCGACAAGTATCCATCCGTAGGTCAGAATTTCGCTGGAAATTACAACTTTCAACAGTAAGTCTTCTTGAGTGCTTAAGAGGAATACTAGAAAATGAATGAGCAGTTCATGGCTGTCAAAGTGCAGAGGAAGAAGATGCCTCATATCACAACTGCCATCAATCATCATCCTTTTCTGTTTCATTCACTCTCCAGAGGATTCAACGCGTGGGTCAATGAAAATGTGGATTACAATTTCGACGGAAACTCGTGCAATTCTGGAAAAATGTGTGGCCATTACACTCAGGTTATCTCTTTTTCAAGTTTGTCTTCACGAATCGATCTGTTGCACTCGTGTTTCATACCAGCCCAAAAAGTCACGAAATTTATGCTTTTGTGATACTCGACATTTATAATCAAGACGGGAGATGGATGAACGAAATCTCAGCCCGAGAACCTATTAGAATCCTAACTTAACGTGACAACGGGGTGTAATGGAGTTAGTGGCCATGTAAGACATGGTTTGTTGAGATGTTCTACATCGTTCCCATTGATAATTTATCCAACTCACCTTAGGACATCATTCAAATCCATGAATTGGAAACAATCTATATACCAAGCTCTTTTTCCACTCTCACGCAGTCACACACAGCAACTGTCGTTCGGTTCATAAATCTCCAATTGAGTACCACAGCGAACAGGAGTATCAATTATTTTGCCGGTTTTCCTCTGGTGAGTGGAAGAATGTCTATGTTCGATCGAATTCAATTTAGTCGATGCGTAAAACAAGTAGAACTTCGATAATGTACAAAGTAGCAGTTTTGGTGATGTACAAATTTATTGGAATTCAGGAACTTTCGTCTACTTTTGTTATCTCACAGGTGGCTTGGGCCAGTTCAAAAGCACTAGGATGTGGCTACAAGAACTGTCTCAGCAATCCCAGTTTCCTTTATGGTAATGCGATAGTGTGCAATTACGGCCCAGCGTAAGTCGATTCATATAATAAATATTTGATTCGGTGAAGTTTTGTTCTCCTTTTCAGTTGAAGAAATAATATTGATGTGTGAATTAGGAAAACAAGATAGTTACATTTTCACATTTAGTTCATCCTCAGACTAATAAAGTTGAATTCGTTGGTAATAGAAAGAAACGTAATCGTGGGATAAACTTGGTTTTATGCAATGTTAAAGAAACAGAGTGGGTGAGAAAGAACATGGGAAAGGTTAGGCACGGTCTTCCAAATACAGCTTACCACCGGACACCAACTTACTGTCGTCAGTCAAGGTAGGTGAATCGTTTATGTACGTTTGCGTCGCAAACACAGATTGGGCAATAGGATACAGGTGTCGTGTGTGTCGATGGTTGTACACGTAAATAACGTTATACATATAACATTACACTTGCATGAACATATATATATATATATATATATATATATATATATATATAGTGCTGGTGGTGGTGGTACGCGCCCCGTAATCAGCACAACGTCAAAATGTTACCATTCAATTTGGCTGGCTGTGAAACCGGTCCTAAATATTTATCTCAGATTCGGCATTCAGAAAAGCATATGCTACATGCTCATGAGGGTCAGAATTTTCAGCAGTAGAAGTGCCAATATTGATAACAATTTCTGAATCCCTTTACTCAGTATACTGTAACTGTACCATATTTCACCAAGAGGGTATGAAGGTGAACCAATAAGAAAAATTAAGGCCGCAGAGGTCCCGGAACTTAAACCTGGTTCTTCAAGGTCTGCGGTCTGCTATGAAGACTGCTCGACCACCATTGGTTGGTAGTTGAAATGAACGACACAAGTTCTCACAGAACGCGGCTCAAACGGAACAGAGTGGGAATAGGTATATTTATCGCAATTACTTCCAAGTATTGTGTGGGATTGGTGAATCTTTGCTTAGCTCACTGTCCTTTGCACTCCACTTTTCACGCACAAATCTCAGGTCATCCTAGCAACCTGCACTCGGAAGCACCAGACTCAAACTTTAGTCTTTTTAGAGCTTATCAGTGGTGCCTATTCTCGGCTACACTCAGGGTTTGAACTCGGACCTTTTTATCTCGAAGGCCTGTATGTTGATACTGCACCACCCGGTTCTCCTCCGGGCTGATCCTTATTACCAAGTTGAACTTGTTCAGATGTCGTCCTCTATGACAGTCAGAAATGGATGACAGCTTTAAATTGAAACAAGGTATCTGTCCCGTTAACTCCATGCGAATGCTTGGTGCTTCCGAGTGTACGGTTAGTTGGGCGACCTGAGGTTTGTAGTTGAAAGGTGGAGTACAAAGAACATCCAGCCCAACGGAGTGGGAATCCACAATAATTTTTAATGTTTGCTGTTCAGTATGCTGATTTTGACGTAGTTGATTGGCTGACCATTGTTTTGTAAATTTCTCAGAGGAAATTATAACGGTCAGCGTCCTTATGAAAAAGAACAACATCGTCAATGCCCACCTGAAGGACAAACAACAACAACAACAACAGCAACCCCGACATCGGGAGCAGAAACAACAGATAACAATACAACCAACAAGGGCAACTAATCCAGACTCCAATGGACTTTCCGGACACAACTGTACGCAATAGGGACATGTTAGCTCACGATCTCCCAAGATCTCCTGTGATTTGTTCCACACCTGTTCCTCTTTTCCGGAGAAACGTGAGAAATAGAAGGACACGCCCTTATCATGTTCTGACAATATTGTTTTTGCGATGATAATGGCAATACATTATTAACTGATACAACACTAAAAACTAACACAAATTATTCTCGAACATATTTGCTCAGTCACATACAAGCCTGTCTACGACAGCTATCGTGTGTTTGTTGTGATGCAATAAACAAGATCACGTGTTCCCTCCACTTTGTCTTTTGTTTCCATTTTGTCTCGAGGTTGAAGTACCTGACCATTTTGGGTATAACTATCTACGGCGTAACTGTTCACGTAGTTGTTCGATTTTGTTCAACTTCTGAAATAAGTCAAAATTTCTGGTTATCATTCTTCAAGAAAAAGTCACAGATTGTGATTCTTGCTTTCTCTATGTTCAGGCTTTAAACCTGGGGCACTGATTAGGCCCTCCAAAGTGCACATATAACATAGTATCCTGTTGATTATATTCCAAATACCAACCACAAAGACAACCCAAATAAAATGTCCCTTTCTTTGCACGTTATGCGCTTCATCTGACTAGCACTGCAGGCCTGAATAATAGACGGAAATAGTCCTCCCTAATTCATTATGTTTTTTGCATTTCTTCAATAATAAAAAATGCAAGCGGATTTCTCATTATTACAAGGTTCAAACTCCTCGTGCAAATAAAACATTCCTTGAATATATGGTTCAATTTCCGCTAGACGACATTCAGCCGTGTGCTGTTTTTTCAATTATGAAGATCTCGAAAAAGTTAGCCGAGTGAATAAAAGCAGGGCAGCTATTGTATCACTGGAATAGTGGTTTGTGCATTATTGGATATTCATTTGCGCTATTCACACCCGACTGACCGGACCGAGGTAGACTAGCTAATAAAACATTTGTCCGGCTAGCAAAATGCCGCCGGTATGATTCCGGCTAGATGCTTCAGATTTTCCATTGCGTACCAAATTGAGAGCAAACTAAAGATGACTCACAGAATAAGAAAGATGAATTGGGATTCAAAGCTGTCTCTGCACGTGCTTGTGAAATCGATCCCACTGAGGAGTGGTCAATTGATTCCCCACATGTTCGGAACAATAGTCGGGCCAAGAGAGTTTTAGTGGTTGCACAAATTGTCTCTGAGTACAAAAGGGGAGAGCCACGGAGGTGAATAGTCACGGTTTCGACTGAGGTTAAGATGCGACGCTTGACACATCTTGGTGGCTTGTCCCAGACATTATAAATTGTAATCAATGAGTTTATCATCACCATTGAGTGTTTTGATCCCATAAGGTGTGGGCATACCTTGCTCGTAATAGTCCTTATTGTTCCTATGTTTAACAAATCTATGTGCTGTTTACGAAAGTGTCTGGATAAACACCTGAACGTACGATCAATGAACCTAGTTCCACAGGAAGAAGTGAATGAATACACAGCGAAAGAGGCTGTAGAATCTGGCAATCTGTTCTCCAAATGAAAGCACACAAAGAGTTTGATGCAAACAAACTTTCCAACTGCTCGACATGTACGGTTCTACTGACCGTTCCTGACAGTCTTGGCTGAATGATCTCGGCCTCCGTATCACATCTGAGTGACATTAAGACGTATACAGACTTCTTTGTGGTTCTTGTTTCTTTCACCTCTCGTCATTTCTTTGCATTGCCTTGCCAGTTAATCGTTCAGGATAGTCATTCTGTACTAGAAAATTCGGCAGAAGAAGTTTGTTTTTACTGTCTTCAGTGCACACTTATTTTGCTCTTCCGGACAAGCAAGGTAATAGATTTCTCTTCATTTTGTTTAGAGCATTACTGTGAAACTAGATGTATTACCTGTTCCACATTGCGTTTCTATGCACTGCTAACGGAAAGGAGTATTCAACACGACGGCTCAGCACATTGTTCTCAATAACAAATTATTGAGCATACGGACCGTGGAAATCACCGACAGGAGTTTGGCAAAATGATGTGCGCGCCGTAACGTCATGAGCTGGACCCAGCCAAAAGTGGTTTATCGGTTTTTTGTGAGGGCTTGAACTGACTTAGATGGAATTCAGACATTTACCTTTTCGAGTTTGTCAAGATTACCCCGGGGCTTGCCGTCAGAGCAATCAATTGGTGGATCTGATTTCACGGAATAAAGTGGGTGACAAAGTGACAGTAAAACAACATTGATAGGTGAGAGCCCCATTTGCTCGTAGTCATACCGGCTTCGAGTTCTATTATGTACTCTTTTTAAATGTATGTGGTTATGTAATGGAAATTCCACTTGTAATTTTCACATCGAGAAGTCGATCTCCGCAAGCTAGAATCAAATCGGCCGGGCAAGCTCAGAGGTCGAAACCAGAAGAGTTGTTGTGCATGTTTGGAATAGTGGATTTAGCGCCATCGATTTTTCACGTGCGCTGTTCGCACCCGACTGTCGGCACGGCGACAGGTCAGTTGGTAGAGCACCTGCCCAGCTCAAGATCCGCTCGCGGCTTTCTATTTTCGACGTAAAAAAAGCAAGTGCATTTTCCATCACCTAAGACTTAGACTCCTCGTGCCAGTAATACATTCCATGAATATATAGTTATCTTGGATCCAAAGCAGTAGTCTTGTATCTGCGTAATTCGTTTGAGTTGGTCTGCTTAAGACAACAGCAGTCGAGCGTATCATGGACGTTTATTCGTTGTTTCTGTGGATGCTTTCAATACACGCATTTCAACTAAGACGAACAGAACATCTACCAATATTTGCCTCAACTGATTCAACTGTGCTTTCTCTCCAATTGTCGGGTTTATCTAATGTTGTTCGGTCCTAGCAAATATACCACTGCTACTCTGAATTTTATTCCAGGGAAAGGATAAACCTGATTTCGGACTACATTGAACTTCCTTGGTGAAAAACTCTCAGTAACCTCCAGTGAAAACACGTGTCCTATCAACAAAACTACCACTAATATTCAGCATCGAAAAGTGGCCATGTTTCGAGATGGCAACAGCGAAGAATGATTACTGAGCTCAGTACATACATGGTCACTAGACTGTTGTCGCACTTCACTACAAAACTGTGCGTGATCACGTCAATGCCTCTGACAACCGTGCGTTGTGCAGTTCACTCATCACTCAATATGTTGCAGTGCACGCGCTCCATCTGAGCTGCACATAGTTACACTTTATCCTATGGGAACCGCTCCGTCGAAGGATCGATGTCTTTAGCTTCGACCAAGCGAGGCTTTTTAATTCCAGCTGTCTATCCTTCCAATTTATTCTTTTGCGGCCATACTATGCTCATGTAGCTCATCGATCTCATTCCTATACCTCAACTAATATCGTTTTTTCCACATCCTTCCTTGTCCTCCCTTCTCACGTCTGAAGCTTTTACGCACCAGTGCCACTCACAACTACGCCCAAATCCCATGTAACTACCCACCATTTTCATTTTCGCCTCACTTCATTCATGAAACTGCTTGCTGGCATGTAGCTCTCCAGCTCCATCGTCCCATTTCCGCTACGCATATATTCCTTGTGAGCACTGTTCCGTCACGGATTTACTTGCCCTGTTGCCTCTGTTCTCCTCAGACTTCATCCTGTTTCACCTGTAGTAAAAATACCTGAATGATCATCTCTTAACTGTTTCTCTTCGGTCAGTTTTCTCACCTCCTGTTTTATATATCGTTCGCCACAGGCATCTTTTCTGCGCTTCTCGGATTGCTCGGCTTTTCCACATTCCACCTGTTATACAGAAAACGTTACATCAAGAATTTCTTGTACAGTTAAAAACCATATGATCTGGCTTTTCTAAGTCTTTCTGATCTTTCATTTCCCCATTCCTTTCGTACGTTGTTCTCCGTCACAACTGCTACATTCTTGAACCACATTCCGTTTTACCTTACAGATGCCTTTCCCTGCTGACAGTCCACACTACTCCGACTAATTTACCTCTCAGATACACTCAGTCTATTTGTCATTTTGGCGTTTGCATTCACCGAATACAAGTCAGAAGAAATCAAAGTTAACTTTTACTGAAAGCACCCCAACTTCCCACGTAAAGTGAGTCTGTCTGAAATCGTGATTTTGGTAGGAGATATGAATGTCACTGTAGGAAGGCTGTCATCGGACGAGGTTCAATTCGGAAGCTCTTTTGGACTGGATTCCAGTCGCTCAGTAATCTGGTAATGGTTTTTGCATCGTGCTCTGAACGTCGTTTATCGGCCGCCAGTATGCACTTCAGACGTTACAACAGCCGATGCACCGCATGGCCTATACCTTCTTTGAGTCCATGGTGGACCCAAGTCGACCAAATCGCTATGATCTACAAATGGCGGAGTTGCATACAAGACTGTCGACTGTAAGCAGTACCTCTGCTGGGTTTGATCATACAGTATTTGCACTTAGTTGTCCACGTGCTTCGGTGGGCGATCCAAAAGCACGCTTTCCAATCCATCTCAACTATCCGTCTTCCTAAAGGCGCTAGTTGAAGTCTAGAAAAAGCCACACGTGATAACATGAGCAAGCTTTTATCGATTATTAAGAATGCTTTGCGTTTCGCTGGCCCAGTAGTTTGTGGTTGGTTTCGTCGTGCAGTAAAACCCTGGATTTCAGTAGGTTATCTGTGATTTACCGAAGCACGCCAGTAGATATTAGCTGAAGGAGCAGATACTGGTACTCTTTCCAAAGTGATCCCTCCACTTTCACTCTGGTGGCTCGAATATATTTTGCGAATGCCTGTCCCCTGATTTTTATGAGGCAGTGGCTAACGCACAAATGTAGCTCAATCAGTAATAGTTCCTGTTTTGAATCTGTTTTGGTTTGAGTTTGTCAAGTTCATTCAGGTATCGGTCACTCACAGCCTAAAAGTCCATCATGGGTGCATGTCCTGATATGTTCAGAAAAGGCCGTCAAGCTTTGAGCATGGTTATCCAGTGGTTCG